AAAAACAGCAAAAAAAAAAAAAAAAAAAAAAAAAAAACTTCCAGAGAAGTAGATCCTGGAACTTCTACGGGAGGTGAAACACCACGAATCACCTTTGAGCACGTCATCTTTTCTTCTGGCTTTCAGGTTTAACCGCCACATGTCTCACTACTCTCTTCGGGGTCAGATCATGGCACACTGCAATAGCCTGAGAGCCCTGCTGGAAGGTTTCCCGACCATCAGAAATACATTTTTCATGGTGGGCCAACCACAGGAGAAGAAAGGGCTGAGGGACTCACAGGAAGGCCTCCAGGCTGACCCCAGGTGTGTAACTTCCTGAAGAGCCTGTTACTCTGCTTCCCAGACCCCACCTCTCCCGGAGTGGTGTGTGAAGTTTAGTGTGGAAACATTTTCTGCATTGACTGCACTTGGCCTTCATCTTCTGGTCCAGAAGGGCAGGAGAAAGAGTTAGCACTCCAAGGATAAGCGTACGTTTGTAACGAACCCAGGAGTTCTCTGTTACTAGGCTGTCAGACTGCCTTTTCTGTCTCTGCAGCTTTGTTTTCTCTTGGAAATCAGAGACTTTCATTAGTCACAACCTTTAACATAATCCAGTGTCTAAAATAGCAAATAAATAGGTAAACTTGATCTTAAGCTGTCCTGGCTTTAAATATTCTATCCAATGTGGCACAAGCAAAAACGAGAGAGAGAGAGAGAGAATGCCTTGGCTAAATTGGTGTCTTATTTTTCTCTAAATCAGTGCCTTCCCCTAATGGGGAAGATATTTATTTATTTATTTATTTATTTATATAGAGAGACTAAGTAATAAGAGCGGAAATATTTCTTTTTTTTTTTGAGAGAGAGATTTTCACTGTAGGGCGCGTGCGCTCGCCAGACAGACAGAGAGAGACATAGAGACAGACAGCGAGAAATCACCCCCAGGGGGGGATGGTCACGCCACAATCCCTTCTCCTCCATTCTCCTCTCGGGATCTTGGGCACGCACGCACACGCGCCCGGCGTGAGTTTTAAGCCACCGGGTCCAGGACACGAACCGCAGTCGACTACATGGGAGTCCAGCGACATAGCCATTACGCTAACTGCTGGTTCCCTAGCGGAAATATTTCTATGCTTCATTATCATACTTGATCTACTTTTCCAAATGTTTTTAACTTAGTCCTCCTAGAAGAAGCTCACTCATCTGGATAGGGAAGTTAGCTTGTCTTTGCAGTCAGTGACCACCTATGACCCCCTTCCCTTTAAAAAAAAAAAAAGAAAAGAAAAGAGAAAGAGGGAGCTGGCTCCATAACACCGTGGGTAATCCCTGTGCATAGGAATTATATCCTCCATGGCTGACTATGGTTCAAATCTCAGCCCTTGTGACTTGAAAAATATGCTAAATGTGTATGTGTGCATACCCAAGATCCTGACTGGATGGAGAAATGGCAGAAAGACGATTATGGCGTGATCACACCCCATTTGGGGAAGGAGGTTCTCTCCCTGCCTTCCCTCCCTCCTGGTGCTCACACACACTTTCTGAAAATCTGAAAAAAAAAAAAAGGTATTTTACAGTTGTGCAGTCTCCCAGGGAAAGCTGAAGCACCCCGTAGGTGAGCTTGCCTCTCTCCACTCTTACGGAATGGAGCTTTAGTAACAATAACGATGTGAATGTGCTGGGTGATCAGGCCCAACACCCATGCTCGGTCTTGTTCAGTGTCACAAAGAATTCATACTGCGGACAGGGAGGATAGCACGCAGTGTTTATCAAGGGAGGGAAAGTTTCTAACATAGTAGAAGGGACCCTGAACAGGTGGCCAAGAGGAGCTGGAGGCAAGGGGGTTTTATCTAGCATTTCCAACAGTGGGCTGGCTTTCTGATAAAGAAATGGCCTTTAGAAAAAAAAAAAAAAAAAGGTATTTTACAGTTGTGCAGTCTCCCAGGGAAAGCTGAAGCACCCCGTAGGTGAGCTTGCCTCTCTCCACTCTTACGGAATGGAGCTTTAGTAACAATAACGATGTGAATGTGCTGGGTGATCAGGCCCAACACCCATGCTCGGTCTTGTTCAGTGTCACAAAGAATTCATACTGCGGACAGGGAGTATAGCACGCAGCGTTTATCAAGGGAGGGAAAGTTTCTAACATAGTAGAAGGGACCCTGAACAGGTGGCCAAGAGGAGCTGGAGGCAAGGGGGTTTTATCTAGCATTTCCAACAGTGGGCTGGCTTTCTGATAAAGAAATGGCCTTTAGAAAATAGCTACATGGTAGTCTGAGAGATGTATTACCCTATTCTTTGTGTGGTCAGCAGAGCATGGCATTCTGTACTTATTAGAATTCACTGACCAGGGGCCAGCAGATGGAGTAGTGGTTACATCTCTGGACTCTCACAGCTCAAGTCCCTGACCGGTGCCTTGAAAATCACCCCATGTGTGCATGCCTAAGATCCCGGGAGGAGAATGGAAGAGAAGGGATTGCGGCATGGCCATTCCCCTGCCCACCTCCCGGGGGGAGGGTGTTTCTCGCTTTTTCTCTCACTGTCTCTGTGTCTCTGTCTCTCTCTGTCTCTCTCTGGTGAGCATACACTCCCTAAGGCAAAAATCTCTAAAAAAAATAATAAATACAGTGACTACATAGAAACCGTTACCTTTACCTATAGTGGTTTTGAATTCCAATGTAGCCAGGTTTCAGCTGTGAAAATTTAGCCACTGTGACTCCATCTTGGGCCTTTACCCTGTCTGTGTGCTCAGTATATCTCTCGCATTATTAGTAAGGAGTCATAAGTTCTTTAGAGACCTGCAAAAGGGATGTATATTGTACATTAGCCAGACCATAGAGAAAAAACATAGTCTTCATTAAAAGAAAAAGAAAGAAAGAAAGAAAGAAAGAAAAAACATAGTGACTTTCTTTCAGGGCCCCTACCCTATCTACCTGTAAGCGGGATCTAACCTCTATCTCAATAAATCTTAATACTGGCCTGGCCCTGGGGGCAGTGACTGGGCCTGGTGCATGCATGGGAGCCAAGTTCCGTGTGGCTGACTTTGGTTTGGGTCCCTACCCCGTAGCTTGAGGGACATATTGGGTATCTTCGTGTGCATGCCCCAAATCCTGACAGGATGGAGAAATAGAGGAAGGAGAATTGTAATGTAACCACACCCTATAGGGGTGTGTGTGTGTGTGTGTGTGTGTGTGTGTGTCTTTTTTTCTTTCTATCTTGCAGTTTTTAAAAAATGTGATCATAGATTGGATAGGTGGAAGGAAACGGAGAGATCATTTGTGTTAGACCCTCTTTTGCTCATTGGGTCATTCCTGTGCATATACATGCATTATCCAGCTACCACTTACCCGGCACTTACGTAGTACCAGCCACTTTGCGGTAAGCTGGAATTCCACAGGTGAATAAGACATTGATCCTGGCAAGACATTAAGTCTAATGGGGAAAAGCTCTAAGTAAACAAGTAAGTTCAAAGCATCTTAGAGGTCTATAAAAGGTCTGCAAGGGCACAAAATTGAAATCTTTAACTCTACCTCAGGGCCTCAGAAAGGAAGTCCAAGAGGAGGTGACAGAAAAATTGGAATGCACCAAGAAAATGGGAGTGATAAGTCAGGCAGGAGAATGCAAGAGAATGAAAGAAGTTGAAGTCTTAGAGCCCTTGACTGATAGCTGACTATCAAAATGGAAGTCAGGCCCAGCTGGACGCATGTAAAGTACCCACCTTATAGATTCGAGTATTTGGTCTCATGAGTTCAACCGGGCCTCGCTGGAGTAGACTTCAGGATTTATTTTATTTATTTATTGTTTTGGAGAGATTTTTGCTACCAGGCGCATACACTCGCTAGAGAGACAGAGAGACAGAAAACAAGAAATCACACCCTGAAGGGATGGCCATGCCTCAATCCTTTCTCCTCCATCCTTCTTTCGGGATTTTGGGCAAGCATCCATATGCATTTGGTGTGAGTTTTAAGTTGCTGAGTCCAGGATTCGAACCTCAGCGGACTATGTGGGAATCCAGCAACATTACCATTATGCTATCTGCTTGTCCCAACTTCAGGATTTATCTAATGGAAGAGTGAATTTGAAAGAATGAGGCAAAGATACTTTAGGAGACTGTTTTGCAAAAGGGCATGACTGGACACCTGCTATCCAGTGGGGCTGAAGCAAATCTTCCCCCTTTTACAAGAGAATCACTAACTTGCAAGTCTTGTCCTCTTCCTTTATTGTTTCTTGTGGATGACCGTACATTTCCTTAAGGTTAAGGGTAAATGTCATTTAAACTGGAACGCCTAAAGCCGTAAGTCATCTGGGCAGTTAATGTGTGGTCATTCCAGGGTTGGGTCCTAGGCCAGGGAAGTTGAGCAAAGTGAGTGTTGTCCAGAGTCCAAGTCCCATAGCCAGGCAGTGAATGAGCAAGACCGACACACATTCAAGTGTCTTTACTACGTGCATCTCCTGCTTTCTAACTCTCTAGATTTTAACATGTCCCTTTTAACTTGCTCATATAAGAGGAGTGCAGGGCCAGGGCCAGCAGGTGGCATGGTGGTTAAGGTGTTGGACTCCCACATGGCAAACTGTGGTTTGAGGCCTGGGCCTGCAGGCTTGAAAATCATGCCGGTCTCATGTGTGTACATGCACAAAATCCTGAGAGAAGACTGAAGGAAAAGGGATTGTAGCATTGGCATCCTCCTTGAGGGATGACTTCTTACTTTCCCTCTCTCTGTCTCTCACTAGTGAGCGCACGCACCCTATGACAAAAACCTAAGGATAAATACATTTTTTTCCATTTTTTTAAAAAGAGGTTTTTGCTAGAGGTCGCGTGCGCTCGCCAGAAAGATGAAGAGAAACAGAAAGCAAGAAATCACCCCCCCAGGGGAAATGGCCATGCCACAATCCCTTCTCCTCCATTCTCCTCTCGGGATCTTGGGCTCACATGCACACACACCTGGTGTGAGTTTAAGCCACCGGGTCCAGGACTTAAACTGCGGTTGACTACATGGGAGTCCGGCGACATAGCCATTACGCCAACTGCTGGCCCAGGATAAATACATTTTTAAAATATAGTAAATGCGTACGTCATTAACAGTTGTTTACATTAACCAGGGCTATGTCCTGTACATAATTGTACGTGCTGTACTTTTATCTAACTGGTAGCACAGTAGGGTGGTTTACACCAGCATTGCCACAATCGTGTGAATAATACATTACACTAGGATGTTAGGACAGCTGTGATGTCATTGTGTGACAGGAAGTTTTCAGCTCCATTTTAATCTCAGGGGACCACCACTGTGTATGCAGTCCATTGTTGACTGAAACTTTGTTACACGTTGCACGATTTAAGTGTGCCACTCCTGGACTGCAAGAGTCCCATGAATTCTGCAGGCTTAAAATTTGAAGACGCTGTGTAATCCCTTATGGGCTCTGATGTACTATGTCTAGTCCACAGAGATGCCCCTGAAACAGCCTGTGTCCAAGAGAAGCCCAGAGGGACTCTCCTCCCGAGAAAGAAGGCCCACTCCCATCATAGCCACAGATGACACTGGAGTCTAGAGACTAGAACGATACTCCAGGGGCACTGCGGCTGGGAGAGTGAAGGGACAGAGAGAGAAAAGACACCAAGATTAACTGAGCCCCACTATGTGACAGGCAGAGCCACTGCCAACCCAACAGCTACTTCGTACAAATCAGAAGTCACCCCTTTCCTGGGCAGGTGTAGCCCCACGCCAGGGTGCAGTGCTGGGCAAATACGATAAGGCTGAGTCTTGGCCACTGCTGGTTGTCTCGGAGCACACCCTGAACACCACCATGCGTCAGCCTTAGTGCCATGGACTGTACAGCAATGGACGAGCATCTACACACATCCAGTGTGAGTTTTAAGTCTCCGAGTCCAGGATTTGAACTTCAGTAGACTACATGGGAGTCCAGCAACATTACTGTTACACCATCTGCTCATCCCAACTTCAGGATTTATCTAATGGAAGAGTGAATTTGAAAGAGTGAGGTAAAAATACTTTGGGAGACTATTTTGCAGAAAGGCATGACTGGACACCTGCTACCCAGTGGAGCTAAAGTACATCTTTCCCCTGTTACAAGAGAATCACTAACTTGCAAGTCTTTTTTTTTTTGGAGAGGTATTTGCTGTAGGACATGTGCGCTCACCAGAAAGACAGAGAGAGAGACAGAGAGATAGAAAGTGAGAAATCACCCCCCAGGGGGGATGGCCACGCCACAATCCCTTCTCCTCCATTCTCCTCTCAGGATCTTGGCATGGGAGTCCAGCGACATAGCCATTACGCCAACTGCTAGCCCAGGATAAATACATTTTTTAAAATATAGTAAATGCGTACGTCATTAACAGTTGTTTACATTAACCAGGGCTATGTCCTGTACATAATTGTACGTGCTGTACTTTTATCTAACTGGTAGCACAGTAGGGTGGTTTACACCAGCATTGCCACAATCGTGTGAATAATACATTACACTAGGATGTTAGGACAGCTGTGATGTCATTGTGTGACAGGAAGTTTTCAGCTCCATTTTAATCTCAGGGGACCACCACTGTGTATGCAGTCCATTGTTGACTGAAACTTTGTTACACGTTGCACGATTTAAGTGTGCCACTCCTGGACTGCAAGAGTCCCATGAATTCTGCAGGCTTAAAATTTGAAGACGCTGTGTAATCCCTTATGGGCTCTGATGTACTATGTCTAGTCCACAGAGATGCCCCTGAAACAGCCTGTGTCCAAGAGAAGCCCAGAGGGACTCTCCTCCCGAGAAAGAAGGCCCACTCCCATCATAGCCACAGATGACACTGGAGTCTAGAGACTAGAACGATACTCCAGGGGCACTGCGGCTGGGAGAGTGAAGGGACAGAGAGAGAAAAGACACCAAGATTAACTGAGCCCCACTATGTGACAGGCAGAGCCACTGCCAACCCAACAGCTACTTCGTACAAATCAGAAGTCACCCCTTTCCTGGGCAGGTGTAGCCCCACGCCAGGGTGCAGTGCTGGGCAAATACGATAAGGCTGAGTCTTGGCCACTGCTGGTTGTCTCGGAGCACACCCTGAACACCACCATGCGTCAGCCTTCGTGCCATGGACTGTACAGCAATGGACGAGCATTTACACACATCCAGTGTGAGTTTTAAGTCTCCGAGTCCACGATTTGAACTTCAGTAGACTACATGGGAGTCCAGCAACATTACTGTTACACCATCTGCTCATCCCAACTTCAGGATTTATCTAATGGATGAGTGAATTTGAAAGAGTGAGGTAAAAATACTTTGGGAGACTATTTTGCAGAAAGGCATGACTGGACACCTGCTACCCAGTGGAGCTAAAGTACATCTTTCCCCTGTTACAAGAGAATCACTAACTTGCAAGTCTTTTTTTTTTTGGAGAGGTATTTGACTGTACATTTCCTTAAGCTAAAGGGTAAACGTCATTTAAGCCGGAATACTTGCCTGGCCAGGGAGATGGGTCATAACAGTACAGTGTGATACAGAATGCAATACGATAAACATAAAATGAAAGCACCCACCAAGAAATGGCCAATATTATCTGAAGGTTGGGGGTGGTGATGAGGAGGGGAAGCAAGGGAGGCTTCAGGGAAGAGAGGATGCTTAACCTGGAACTAGTGTTCCAGGTGAACAAGAGAAAAGGATATTCAGGTTTGCACACAGCACGGAGATGTGAGACAGCCTGTGGGCTTCTGCATGGACGAGCAATGAAGTACAGAGTGCAGTGGGCGGGGCAAGAGCCGAGAGTCTGGTGTTTGTCCTTTGGGTTGCCGGGAGAAGGGGACTGAGATGATTGTCAGTGACACCACTCAGAAAGCTACTGAAATTGTAGAGACAAGACATTTTGGGGACGTGAAATCAGCAAGGCCAAGTGCTGGCTTTCATGTGGAGCTGGGGGAGGAGGCTGTCACCGAGTCCCTGGCTGGGGTAAATCGAAAGACAGCAGCATGTAATGGGGACAGAGTTTTGGTTTCAGAAGATGAACAGGAAGTTCTGGAGACTCAGGTAGTGATGGTTGTTCAGTAATGTGTGAATACTTCCAGTCACTGAGCTGTACACTTTAAAATGATTAAAATAGTAAATTTCGTGTTATGCTTATTTTGTGGCAGATTTTTTTGTAGTTTTTTTTTTTAATTTATTCCATGAGTGAGAAAAGCAGAGAGACAGAGATAATATACAGCACCCATGTACAGGGTCTGGGCGCTGCAATCTACCCCCAGCCTCTGCCCGCCTGGATCCTCAGAGAGGTCTCCGAATGTGAACCAGCAACCTACGATGAGTCAGCCTGGCAGGGTGTCATGGTTTACTGCTGAGCCACCCTCAACCCCCAGATGTTTTTGGGTTTTTTTGTTTGTTTGTTTGTTTGTTTGTTAATGAGGGAAAAAAGATGGCAATGGTGTTAGGGGGAAGAGTCGTACAGCCAAATAACCAACCATGTCTCAAAAACCTCAGCTGTGACGCCCTCCCATCATGCTCCCGATTACTGCTGCTTTTTTTTTTTTTCCCTAAAGGTTTTTGCCATAGGTGCGTGCACTTGCTGGAGAGAGACAGTGAGAGGGAAAGTGAGAAATCACCCCTGAGGGGGAATGGCCGTGCTGCAATCCTTTCTCCTGGGATTTTGGGAACACATGCACACGTGCTCTGCATGAGTTTTAAGCCACCGGATCTGGAACTGGAACTGCGGTTGCTCATGTGGGAGTTCAGTGCCTTAACTACCACAGCACCTGCTGGCCCCTGACAAGTGCTTCTGGTTCCAGGCAAGCTCCCATCATACTTTTGATCACTGCCACCTTTGCATGTCTAGCTGCTTCTGGAAGGCAAGATCCACCAGGGCAGAGGTTGACTTTTCGTATCCCTGGTGTACACTGCTGAGTTTGACCCTGCTTGAAAGGAAGGGGCTGGGGGAGGGGGGTCTGCAGGAAGTAGAAAGAGTTCCAGCCAATGGTCTTTAACTCAGTCATGAAATAGCAGACCATGTCATTATCCGTGGGCAGGAATTTGATCTGGGGCTCATGGCTTGGAATTATTGGACAGGGAAATGGGCATGAGAGCTGATCAAAGGAAAGAAGTGACATAGCTCAGGCTGGAAACCATTACCTTGTTGTTGCATCAATGTAATTAGTGGTGTGACTTCCTCCAGCCGTGCTCAGTGACGCGCAACTAGTAACAGAAAGCTGAGTAGCTGGAGGGACTGGCGTTGAGGTTCTGGTAGGTAGGTGGGGCCTAAGTGCAAAAAAAGCAGAGATTGGCAGGTGCTGGGAAGAGAGCAGATCACGTGCTTGACAGTGAGGTCCATCTGGGTAGGGAAGGATGTGAGGGCCAGAAGTAATGGCAGATGGAAGAGGATGCGGAGGACTGGGTGATGTCAAGCATATTTTGTGGAGATGAGGGAGGTTTAGTGGGAGTGAATGAGTAGCAAAACTGGAAGAATAAAAGATTGGGTTGAGAAACTCAAGACTTTGAAGGGGTAAAGTTCCAGGGGATAATAGGTCTGAGGTGTGGTCCAGGCATGGGCAGCAACAAGGAAATAAAGATGGAGGGTGGGGTGATGTTGAGCAGGTCGGGGAGCTGTCAGGCCAGATGGCTGATGGGGCATCCATTGGGGGAGGGGAGTACTGTAAGGCTGAGAACCAGGCCACCCTCGGCACCAGCACCTAATGCTTTCAACTGCTCCAGCTTCCTGGAGAGATGACGGTGGCTAGCAGGCGTGGCACGGGCAGGAAATAATAGATGAGCACCTGGTAGAGGGTCCCAGGGCCCAGGGACATGTGCTCCTCAGAGGCCTTGCCTCAGCTACCCTCCGGGCGCAGCTGCCAGCCTACAGCTGCAGGCCCATGTGCTCAGACTCAGACCTAGCAACTTCTTATATTTGCTATTCAATGTCTCTTTCGGGTTCCATCGAACACCGTGAACTGAATAACAGCGATAAGATGGGATTACACTGCCTTTGATCTGCTCCAGGACAGAAATAGTCTTTGTGGTTGCTAAAAGAAAGGAGCGTCTCCAAACTAAGACTACGCTATTCCTGAGCTGAGAGTGAACGGATTAAAACCCTCAGACTTGAAAGGCAGGCTTAAGGCCCATGATGCCAGTGATTAACTTCAAACTTGAATGATTTTTAAAGTCTTATCTTCAGAATGTTTGATATTGAATATTTAGCCCTCAGTTCAAATGAATTACATTTTACTTTAATAAATGGGCAGGCCTTTCCAAAAGGCCCAGAAATAATTTGAATAATGTTCATGGGCAACCATCATGACAATCTAATAATTCTCCTGTGATTTCTAAAATGCCCCCTAGAAAGTCCGATCCTTCTGTGGAGAATCGTCGCAGCAGACAGCGGCAGTGGAATGAAAGCTGGGCTAATGTGAGAGGTCGAAGTAATGGAACCAATGCACATGAGGAGTAAAGGAGAATGGGGAGTCTAAAAACTTCTGCTTTTAGAGACTATGAGATTGTAGTTCCTCTACATGGAAAGAGGCACAGAGTTGGGGTAGAAAGATGTGAGGAGTTCAGTTTCTGCCTGTTTTTTTTTTTTAAGAGAGAATTTTTTTTCTTTAAGGCACATGCGTTCACCAGAGAGACAGAAAGCAAGAAATCACCCCCTGGGGGATGGCCACGCCACAATCCCTTCTCCTCATGGGATTTTGGGCATACATGCACATGCGCCTGGTGTGTCTTAAGCTACCTAGTCTGGGATTTGAACCTCAGTCAACTTCATGGAAGTCCAGCGACATAACCATTTTGCCATCTGCTGGTCCTCCTGCCTGTTTTCAGTGAAACAGTCAGCAGCACGACCGGCCAGGATGAAGTAAGTTGGAGCTCTAGAGGGGTCCAGGGTCCCATTGTGGACTCTGAGTCACTGGTAAATGGATGGTGGTTGCAGCCAGAAGGGCGGATGCTATTGGCCAGCGCTGGGAGAGGAGTGTGAAGAGCTGACACCGGGAGCACTGGGCAGGGGAGCTGCGGCATGAGAGTTCCACCTCCCTGCACACATCCTTCTGCTATTTTTCTGTCAGGCCTACCTTTTCTGGCATAACCAACATAGGCTGAGGGGCATTGGTCTCTGGTCTTCCCACGTAACCTAGAGTTCTAAAACATCTCAGCATGTCAGTTGCCCAATTCTTTTTGTTTGTTTTTAATTATTTATTTAGGGACCAGCAGGTGGCGTGGTGGTTAAGATGCTGGACCCTCCCACATGGCCGACCACGGTTCGAATTCTGAACCTGGTGGCTTGCTTTATCACTCTCTCTCTCTCTGTGTCTTTCTCTGGTCAAATTAAAATAAATGAATGAATAAATGAATTTTTTAAAAAAGAATTAATTATTTAATTTTATTTGTTATTATTTTTTTATTTGACCTGAGAGAGACAGAGTGAAAGAGAGAGGGAAAGTGAGAAATCAAGCTACCAGGTCTGGGACTCAAATAGTGGTTGGCCATATGGGAATCTAGTGCCCAATCACCATGCCACCTGCCAGCCCTCCCAGGTCCCCAATTCTTACCAAATGACTCTGAGAGCACCACACTCATCCTTCCACTCCCATCCATCCCCGGCCACTGTGCCCAGAGATGCCAGACATCATGATGCCTTAGCATAATGATAATAAACTTGGCAGAGCAACTCACAATTCATAAAACACTTTTCATGTCCTCTCTTTTTTTCTTTTTCTTTTTTTTGTCAGAGAGCATGTGCACTTGTCAGAAAGAGAGGGAGACCCTATAGCAAAAACCTCTCCGAAAAAAAAAAAAAAGAAAGAAAGAAAGAAAGAAAGAATGGAAGAGAGGGAGAGAGAAAGCCTCAATGGGGCATGGTCATACTGCAATCCCTTCTCCATTCCTCCATCCTGGCAGGTTTTGGGGCACACATGCACACACACCTGATGTGTTTTTCAAGCCACTGGGGCCAGGATTTGAACTGCAGTTGGCCATATGGGATCCAGCTCCCAATGCCCAGTGCTTCCTCACTGTGCTACTGGGCTGGCCCTTTTTAAAATGTGCTCTTTTAAAAATTATTCCAGCGTATGAGTTAGAATCACTACTCTCATTTTATGGATAAAAAGACTCAAAGAAGACAATTTGTCTAAAGCCACACAAATGTTAGTGATAAAAAACAGGACCCAAAATCATGGCCTTGGATATCAAATTCCATGCCCTGTTAACTACACAAATCACCACTTTCCTGCACATCAGAATAACACAGAACTGACGGCACCAGATCCATGCAAGTGGGATGCCTCACTCCTGAGATGCGGTAGAAAGATCATGGGCTTCCATGTGCACGAAGATCAAACACAGCCAAAGCCCAAGAAAGTATTTCTCCCTGGGGTAGGCAAAATTACAAAGAAAATCGTGGCAATGATTAATGTAAAACTTGGAATGGTGGTTCCTCTGGGGACTAGCAAGGAGGTGCTCATCCTCTTCAAAGGTGCCTGCCGGGTGGTGGGTACCTGAGCTTATGTGACTCCTTAAACCAGATATGAGACATTTGTATATAAACCCACAACAAAGAGACAGCTAACCTGCTGCTTCAGAAATGAGAAGGTAGTGGGAGAAGGTGAAGGGCAGAAAAGAAAGGAGGGAAAGAAGCCCAGAGGCTGGGGGCCCTGGCAGGAACAGTGGTGGTGAGAGAAAGAAGAAAGACCCGGGGTCCAGATCCCAGAGTCTAGGACCGTGATAAGCATTGCCACCCCACTTCCTCTCTTAGAGCTGTGTAGGCAAGCTCCACCTAACTTCCCTGGGCTTCCATTGCCTCGGCTGTGAAACAGGGACAAAAATAGCCCATCCTGAGGTTGTCAGAAGAATTAAGTGACAGAATATATAATGCCCCATATCGCAGCAGCCATTTAATTCATGCGTTTCCGTTCCTTTCTTGACACACCTCTTCCTCCCTCCCTCCAGACCCACTCCTTCCTCCAAAGCAGCTGAGCTAAAATCAGCCCAACCACCTTCTTCCTGTGGCACTGTTTATAAATAGCTCTGGCCACCTGGGAGCACTCTGCACAGTTGCTGCCTTCAAGCTTGGATGCTGGGCCTGCGGTGACAGGCCTGTCTGCCATTGGCAGTGACTTACGCAGGGCATACAACCCCTCTGGCTTAGAGGGGAATGCCCAGGTGACCACTGATGCTTTCTTCTCATGTCTAATGTCGCAGGAGTTTTCGGCCCCGGCCACGATGTCTGTTGTCAGCAGACGGAAAAGTCTTCCTCAATCTATGGTTCATCCCTCATCCTTCCGAAGTGCTGGCTATGTTCAAAACACTGCCAGAAGAGGTGTGTATTTTCTTACGTGCCCCAGAATAAAAACATGATTAAGCCCTTCAATTCTAAAGAATCTCTCCTCTCTCTCTCTTTTCAAAGATATTTAACCGAAATCTTTTTACAGCTCCAAATACTTTTCCCTGCTTTATTATCATTTCTCTTGGGCCTCATTATTTCATAATTTCTATTTCTCCCTGGTCATTAAAAAACATTTTCTTACTTTCTCTCTCTCTGTCTTTCTCTGATAAAATTAAAACATAAATAATAATAACAAATAAAATAAATAAATATATCTTTTAAAAAAAAACAACATTTA